GGAACAGACTGGCAAGAGACAGAGGCTGTCCTCTCTGAGCTCGTCTATCTCTTGAGTTCAGTCAAAACTAAAATTTTCTGAGTGACAAATAAATAAGATCATACATAAAAGCATATATATGTTATATTCAGTACTAACAATGGCTAACATTTATTGAATACCTTCTATGTATCTGGACATTATACTAAGATTGCATATACTAACTCATTTAATATTCATAAACCTGTGAGGTTGGTACTATTAGTATCCTCATTTTTCAGGTAGGAGAAATAAGTAAGTAGCCCAGGTAACTCAGCAAATATAGGAGTCAAGGTTCAAAATGAGGCAGTCTTGCTTCAGAGCCTATAACCTATTCATTAGACTAATTATCATCTTTCAGCAATAGGTATATATACTTATTAACATGTACTTATAATTTATACAATTAAACCTCAAAATTTAAATTTAAAAATTTTTAAATTACAATATAAATACTCAAAATTTTTCTGAACATAATGATGAGAAAGGCTTAAGTGGGCTCGTTGGTTGGGTGGATATGAAAAATAAACTAGCAATACACTAGGTATCTTGGATTATGGTGGTGGTGATGGAGAGAAATGGATGGATTTGGACTATGGAGATTAAGAAAGAAAATGTCAAAAGTAATTCTTTGGATTCTGATCTGCATAAATGGATTGAATAGGGGAGCTGTTGGCACAGAACAGAGGTGCCAATAAATGGCAACTTGTTTAATGTTTTTTTTTTTCCGTTTATAACATAACTCTCCATTTCCACTATAAACACTTATACAAGCTTCACTCTGCCAATTATATCTTCTATGATGTATTAAGGAAGCTCCAGTGGTATAGTGCCTAAGGCATTTGACTGCTAACCAGAAGGCTGGCAGTTCAAACCCACCAGCCAGTCCTCAGAAAGAAGACTGGGCAATCTATTACTGTAATGATACCACCTCAGAAACCCAAGGAGGGGTAGCTATAAGTCAGATTTGACTCAACAGCAGTGAGTTTGATTTCTTTTTTTTTTTTAATGGTGTATCAAAAGCTCTGAGTGCCTAAAGCATTTGACTACTAACCACAAAGTTGGCAGTTCAAACCCACCAGCCACTCCAGGTAAGAAAGACTGCACAATCTACTTCCATAAAGATTTACTGCCTCAGAAACCCAAAGAGGGTCACTATGAGTCGGAATCTACTCCATGGCAGTGAGTTTGGCTTTTGGTTTTATGATGTATCAAAATGGCAAAGTCAATTCTTCATCAATTTTCTCTAAAATTAAGTCTCATCAAATTTAGGAATGGATGACAGTTACTATCAACAGGGTAATGAAGTTTCAACAAGCCTCTTTAAACATACCCAACTGTCCTATGTTCTTCTTGTTGTTATGTGCCGTTGAGTTGGACCGACTGATAGCAACCCCTCCTTGAGTTCGGAGGCAGTATCACTACGGAAGTAGATTGCCCCAACTGTCCTATGGCAGTGGTAGAATGGTATATAAACATCCTGATATTTCCAATCTCAAGGAAAAGTAAGATATACCTCCACCAATATACAGAACGGGTGGAAAAAGTACCTTTACACTTGGTATTTATTATTTTTAAAATACTACCTAACTTTTAAAGTTTACAGTATTTCTTGTTTTCTTCCCAAGCTTTAGAAGTATTACAGAAAAACATTAGACTTGTTTAAAAGATTGTGATTCTAGCCTACTCCATCTATTCAACTTCATTTGCAGAATTTCAAAAATGCTTCTTTTAGAAATCAAGATAAACATGAAAACATATCACTGCTTGAAAATGATAAACCACCGCAGGAAATGTTGATTTAAAAAAAAAAAAAAAAGGACTTAACAGCAGCATGTTGTCCCACAAATATTGTTGTTGTTATATGCCCTCGAGTCAGACCTGACTCATAGTGCGACCCGTTCTTGGGAGCTCTTGTTGCGAAGTGCCTAAGGCACTTGACTGCTAACCAGAAGGCTGGAGGTTCAAACCCACCAGCTGCTCCTTGGAAAGAAGGTTGGGCAATCTACTTCCATAGTGATAATGCCTTGGAAACCCAAAGAGGGGTCGCTATGAGTCGGGTCCGACTGGAGGGCAAATAACAACAACATCACTAAAGAAGTAGATTGCCCAACCTTCCTTCCCAGGAGCGGCTGGTGGGTTTGAACTGCCAGCCTTCTAGATAGCAGTCAAGTGCCTTAGGTACTATGCTACCGGAGCTCCTTCCCACAAATATTAGTCACTTATTTTCTCCTTTCAGCTTCAGCAGAAACGTTCACTTTAACCTCAGCAAAATATGCCTCATTTTGACATATGGTGCTATCACCCAGTCCTGCCAAGTCACATCACTAAAATGTAGATTAGAGCTACAAGGCAGAATAGCTACAATTCCACATCAGTTAATTTTAACTTTCCTTTTGGTACAGGTCACTCATACAAGCTTTCCTTGTTCAGCTTTCGCATACACCAAGGACTTGAGGCTCTCCTCATACAACGGCTGAACTCAGTTTTCTCCAGGCATCTCAAAAACGCTACGTCGATCGCCAGAGACGTTCCTCCACTCCCTGTCTTCGCCCTACCTTTTGGGCGGGGGTCGTGAGGGGCGCCACCTAGCTCCGCTGCAGGAGGAAGGGGCGTGACGTCGCGGGAACTCCCTCCTGACGTCGCGCGGGCTCCGGGAGGGCTGGTTCAGCCGCCTGGAAGCCCGGCCTGCAGCCCTCTGGCCTTCCCCCTCCCCCCCCCCGGAAAAGCGCGGGCTACCCCGAGGGGCCGGGTTTCCCGCCGGACGATTGGCTGGGTGGTGAAGAAAAGAGGGGGAAGAGAGAAGCAAGCAGCTGTGTCTTCCCAGTCCAAAGGGTGTCTGCTTCCCTGTTGGAGCTTTTGGGAATATCGAGTTAATCTTGGAAGCTGTGAGTAGGGGAACTTGCCCCCTCCCCCGTCTTCCCGATGCGCTGCATTGTAGCTCTACTTCCGGTCGAGGCTGGAGAGCGCGCGCTCACCGAGCAGGTTTGGCTCCCGTGGTGGGTGGGGATGGCTGCAGGGTTTCCCGGCGGCGTCTGAGGAAGTAGGCTGGGACCGGGCTGTAGTAGTGCGATGGACCAGCGGGAGGACGAGCTCTCGCTTCATGCTGTTCCCTTCGTCTCTTGCGCGCCTTGAGGAGCAGCTTCCCAACTCCCAGCCGCGTCGCGCATGCGTTGACCGCGTCCCGGAGCCAGTCAGTCTTCCCTGTCGGACGTTTTAGTGATATTCACTCGCGAGACCTACCGGCGCCTGACAAGAGATGATGGATAAGGGTCCTGCGATGAAGAGCTTTGCACTTCTGCTTTGCTCGGAAAAGGACCACCACATTTCAGTTTGTCTTGGTCCCTTGTGTGAGTCGACTTGTGCTGTGACTGGAAAGAAATCTTTTCACTGAAGCATCTTTTATGTCAGTTTACTTGTGAACCCCCCGGTGTATCTCTTACAGACATGGGCTTTCCCCTCCCCCCTTCCACAGTCATATCATTTTATACGCATTAATTCCCCAGTATTGTCTAAAATTAAGTACTTGTTCACTTTTCACTGTCTCAAAAACTACCTAATCTGAGTTTTTGAAAAGCTTAATACAAGTGTATTTTTATTTCTGTAGTGCTTTGTCGTTTATCAGATAGCTTCACACATAATCTTGCTCCCTTTAAAATGTTATTTTCAAGAAATGATTAGCAAGAAACACTTAAGTCAGTTTGATCACTTGTTAGCAATGGTAAGGCAGTGACTAAGGAGCCAGGTGTTAGGTTTAGTAGCCTTGTTAATCATTTTACTTTTTGAGTGATAGATAAAAATGACTGGTATTTTATGGCTTCAGGTCAAGAACACATACAAAATATTTACTACGCTTGAACCTAATAGCCTACTACTTCCTTCAGTGGCTGCAGGAGTAGTAACTATCATTTACCTTTACTCTGAGAGACACAAAGTAGCTTTATAATTGCCATGTTCCTGTATGTATTTGATGTTATGTATCTTAGATGTATATGTGTCTTGCTCGCTGACTTTCCTTGTTATGAGAGCTCATCATCTGTGTTAATGCTTAAATTATCTATCTTGCTGTTTTAGATCTTAGGTGACTTTATGTACACAGATTTGTGAGTACTTTTTAAGTCAGGAATATTTCCACATGTTTTTCTGGTTTTGCATTCAATATATTGTTGCACCCTACATCAATCAAAAAATTAAAAAAAAAACAAAACATTTTTTTTATAATGCTAAATGAATACTGACCTTGAATGATTCAGAACCTTTCAATATTAGAATCCTTTCAATTTAACGAGGTGCCTTGGTGACACAGTGGTTAAGCCCTTGGCCACTAGGTGCAAACCAAAAGGTTGGCGGCTCAAACCCTCCAGCCACTCTGCAGGAGAAAGATGTACAGTTTGCTTTCATAAAGACTTAAAGCCTTGGAAATCCTGTTGGGCAGTTTTACTCTGTCCTGTAGTGTCCATATGAGTTGAATCCACTGATGGCAACAGGTTTTCAATTTAACATAATTTTAGATAGTTACTTCTTTCTAGGAGGAGTAAAATTTGCCAGAAAATGTTATCTTAACTAAAGGCCAAATAAGGAGCCATGGTAGTTCAATGTTAAGCACTAGGCTGCTAACCAAAAGGTTGGTGGTTAGAACCCACTTAGGGGCAGTTCTATCTACTCTGTCACATGGGGTCACTTTTTGTCAAAAATCAACTTGACAGCACCTAACAAAAACAATGGCCAAATTATTGAAATCAGAGCTTTTCTCATTTTAATCATCTTCATCTCTCACTCCCTCATATACCCATATTCAGTTTCTGTTGAACATACTTTTCTTCTATGTGTGCAAATCACATAAAAACAAATGCAAAATTCATTTGTATTGTAATCTGTCATTTCAGATATTTTCAGCTGTTCCAAAGACAACTTCATGCATAATGTAACAGAAAAGGTCACAAATCATTAGGCAAATAGAAGTGTGCAGCATATTCAGCAAGATGAACAACTCTGGAAGCAGTTGTGGAAGCCCTAGTTCTGTGGATATATCTAATGACTTTAAGGAACTTTGGGCAAAACTAAAGGAGTACCATGATAAAGAAGTTCAAGGTAAAATCTTTTCTGAAATACAAATTTGAGATGTATTTGTGCTGTATTTTCTTGAGATTGTTATAGTAATAACTCACTTTGATAGTTTTGTGTCTTTATAGAAGGAAGAAATGACTGAAGTTCAGATCTGATCATTAAGTGACCTTTACTATTGTAATTTTTTTGGTTGAGTTGTTACATTTTAATTACTGCCACCTATTACAGAACATAGTCCTTGTACAACTTGTAGTTACTTACTCGTGATAATATGTATAGTGTAATGGAAAGGGTATGAAAATTGGTTTCTGAAGACCTGGATTTTAGTTCTGATTTTATTTACCTACTTGCTCTATGATCTCAGCCAATCACATAACCTCTGAACTTAATTTTCTTCCATAACATGGGTGTTTATTTGCTGGATTATTTATAGTCATAGAGTCTACTCAAATTATTCAACAACCTTTGGGGATCCTATTTGCTGTTTCTATTAAGATACAAAGGTGAGTGGCAGTTTACCTTCAAAGAGCCTGCAGTCTAAAAGAGATACAGTTACATAAGCAGATAATTACAGTACCATAAAATAAGAGGTAAACAGTTTATATAACGTGCCTTGGGTATACAGAGGATTGAACAGTCATGCTTTGGATGAGTATATAAATATTTGTGGTTATGTTAAAATGTACTCTATATAAAAAAAATTTCTAGTAAAGCTAAGCTCAAGATTTGCTACTAAATTTTAATATACTTCATCTCATTCTGTGACGTTAATATACTTTTTTCCATGTGTGAGAAATACTTCATGTTATATTTGTTTTCTTGATTACCTGTTGCAACCATAGGTTTCATAGTACAGTGCTTCATAGCTTTAACATTACTCTGGACTGCCATTAAAACATGCTCTACCTGAGTCTGAAGTATAGTACCTGGATCTCTGTTAGAACTTTCCTGTTGAAAATTTAGTTTCTGAAAGAGCCTCATGATAATAGCCTCATCATTAATTAATGGGTTCTGGAAAATGAGCCCCAGAAGTAGTTTTCTTATGTGCCCTAGATTACTTAAAGACAGTAGTTCAAGAAATGTTTTTTGGGCACTTAGGTCACTAGGTAGTACAAAGTTTACACTGGACTATTAATCATAAGATTGGTGGTTCAAACCCACCCAGAGGCCATTGAAGACAGGCCTGGTAAACTGCTTCTGAAAGGTCATGCACAGCCTTGAAAACCCTTAGAGCAGTTCTGCTCTGTAACATGAGTTGCCATAAGTTGGAATCAACTTGGTCACAACTAACAACAAACACAACTATGTGTCAAACCTTGTGAATAAGACCGAATCTTATAAAGTCCTAGTTTTAATAGAATTTCTAGTCTAGAATTTTAATGCTAACATAATTTTATGTAATCTGGAAAAATAAAGGAAAAACCAGTTGTGTGTGCCTTTGTGTCTGTGTCTCTCTGTAGTTTGCTGTCAGGGTTGGCTTTAAAATTGTTTTAAGTTTAATTAGCAAGACAAATAATATGGTGAGTGGGAAGAGAGGAAATACTCTTGAGTAAAGAAAATAGCATGTGTGAAGGTTTGGAGATAAGAGCTTAGTTTTATTCAAGGAACTATAGAGTTTGCTACAGCTCTAATAGAAGGATTAGAGTGGGCAATGGGAGCTTATTTGGGGGCAGGGAATGGTGGCTAGGAGATGATGTCAGAAGGGTAGGTAGACCCAGACTGTATGCGCTGTAAGTGCTACACTGAGGACATTGCCACCACGCCTGGTCATTAAGTCTAAAACTTTCACCTAGAGTGCTTGTGCTTACTTCCAATGATTAGCAATCGATGCAAGTAGTGCTGAGAAAGAGGTCATGTGCTGTAGTGGTTAAGGTTATAAACTCTGGATCTAGGTTGCCAGTGTTGGAAAGCCATTTCTGCTACTTGAATAGAGGTGGTGACCTTGTTATTTAACTTTATAGTGTCTCAGTTTCCTCAATGGAGATGCTGATAATACCTCATATTGTGTTGAATAGGTTAACATGGAAAACATTTGGAATAGCAGATGCCATTGTCTGGCACATAGTAAGCAATATATTTATGTTAGTTCTAACTCATTCTAAGCATCAATTTAATGTATTATCATTGCCTGCTGTGGATCATCCTAGGTATAGACAATGAGATACTATAAAAAAGTTTTAACAGAGGTTTCATATATTGACTACTTTTTATTCTCCCCTTTAGGGTTTTTACTGCTAATCTCTAGGAAGCATCAGAAAGGGGTGACCAAAGTAACAAATACAAGAAAATTTAATTGGTTAAGGAATTTTTAAAAATTCTTAGTCTCCCAACTGAAGTAAACACTCAAAACTGTCTTTAATTCTTTTATTCTGAAAGGTTGGAATTTAGTCACCCCTAATCCTTCACCTGTACCCTTTACTATTCTGATATGCTTGTTCTTTGATAGATTATATTTTTTTTAAGCTTACGATTTTTTTAAAAGTAAAAATAAACAGTGAAAACTGATCTTTTACACAGAAACAGGTAACCACTTTATAAAAATAGTATTTTGTTTTTGTATAGAATATACACAGCAGTATATACACCAACTGAGTTTCTACAGGGATACTGATTACAGTCTTTGAGTTGTGCAACTATTCTGTTTCTGAGTTGCTCCTTCCTATTAACATAAACTTGCTGGCCCCTAAAGCTCTATCTGGGAGCTCTGGTAGCATAGTGCCTAAGGCACTTGACTGCTAACTAGAAGCCTGCAGTTCAAACCCACCAGCCGCTCCTCGGAAGGAAGGTTGGGCAATCTACTTCCGTAGTGATACTGCTTCAAAAACCCACGGAGGGGTCGCTATGATCAGATCTGACTCGACAGCACATAACAACAACAACAAAGCTCCATCTAATTTTTTGAGATGGCTGCTGTCACTTTCATCCTATAATGGTAGATCTTAAAAGAGCATAATTCTCAAGGCAGAATCTCTACTAGTTAAACTAAACTGTTGTTGTTGTTATGTGCCATCAAGTCAGCCCTGACTCATAGCGACCCCTCATTGGGTTTCCAAGGCAGTATCACTACGGAAGTAGGATTGCCCTACCTTCCTTCCAAGGAGTGGCTGGTGGGTTTGAACCGCCAGCCTTCTGGTTAGCAGTCAAGTGCCTTAGCCACTATGCTACCAGAGCTCCCTAAACTAAACTATTTTTTGGTTTTAAGAAGACTTCAGGAGATATATTTCGTTTAAGGTTTAAAGATTATCTCAGGGCATTAGTTTCAGGGGTTATCCTCCATGGCTCTAGAAAGTGTGGAGTCCCTGAGAATTTTAAATTCTGTTCTACGTCTTCCCCCTTTTGACCAGGATTCTTCTATAGACTCTGATCCAAACATTGTCTACTGGTAGCCAGGCACTATCCATTTCTTCTGGTCTCATGCTAAAGGAGGCAGTTGTTCATGGAGGCAGTTAGCCATACAGTCCATATCCTCCTCCTTCTCTTTCTCCTCCTGACTCCACTTCCTCTTGTTCCAGGTGAATAGAAACCAATTGTTGCACCTTGAATGGCTGCTTGTAAGCTTTTAAAACCCCAGGCAATACACAATGAGTTAGGAAATAGAACAGAAACACTGAACAAGTATTTAGATCAATTGATTAGGATGGTCTTTGAAACCATGACCCTAAACCTCCAACCTGCAAACCATGGAACTAAATCCAAACCAAGGAACTAAATCCCAGGAGGTGTTTGGTTGTAAATAAACAGTCTCAGCAGCAACTTTTTTTTTTTTCTGTCATTATAAATATATCTATCACCCAACTTTTGCCAATTCAACTTTTTACAGGTATATACAGTTTATTTACAGCATTTATATTAATTGGCTATGTAATGGTACCCTTACTCAATGTGAGTTTTCCATCACTGTAACTGACATCAGTATTCCATAAGCAGTAATTTGCCCTGCCCCCCCATAACCACTAATAAACCTTGGCATCCATACGTTGCCTAGTCCTATCTTTTTATATAAGTGAGGTCATATAATATTTGTTCTTTTGTGATTGATTTATGTCACTTAGTGTAATGTTTTTAAGTTCCATCAATACTGTAGTATGTATCAAGACTTTATTTCTTCTACTGGCAGAGTAGTGTCCATTGTATATATATATATACATATACATATATACCCATATTGTTTATCCACTCCCCATTGTTAGGCATTTAGGTTGTTTCCATCTTTTGGCTATTGTGAATAATGCTGCAGTGCACATTGGTGTACAAGTCTCTTTTTGAATCTTTGCTTTCAAGTCTTTTAGGTACATACCTAGGAATTGCTGGGTATTAAAACATTTCAAGATCTATCCTGAAGTACATTGTCAGTGATGGTATAATACCCACATGCCTATAAGGAAGACCAGTTAATACAACTATTATTCAAATGTACGTACCAGCCAGTAATGCTAAAGATGAAGGAATTGAAGATTTTTACCAACTTGTGCAGTATGAAATTAATCAACCATGCAGTCCAAATGCATTGATAATTATTGGTGATTAGAATGTGAAATCTGGAAACAAGAAGTAGTAGTTGAAAAATACGGCATTGGTCGATGGAAACAGTGGTGGAAATTGCATGTAATAATTTTGTAAGTGACTTATTCATTGCAAATGCTTTTCTCAACAAAATAAATGGCAAGAGTACATGTGGACCTTGCCAGATGGAGTACACAAGAATCAGATCATCTACATCTGTGGAAAAAGATGATGGAGAAGCTCAGTATCGTCACAACGACACTATGGGCCAACTGTGGAACAGATCATCAGTTGCTTATATATGAGGTCTAGTTGAAGCTGACGAAAATTATAATAAGTTCACATGAGCCATATTAATACCACCTTGAATAATCCCTACTGAATTTAGAGACTATCTCAAGAATAGATTTGATTCAATGAACACCAGTGATTAAAGACCAGATGAGTTGTAGAAGGATTATCAAGGACATCATACATGAAGAGAGCAAAAGGTCATTAAAAAGACAGGAAAGAAAGAAAAG